TCTGCAAAAAAAAAACACTTGCATTCGCATACATTCTCTGATTGTAGATCTGTTTTATGTTTTAGGAAGTTCACAGTCATTAAAACCAATGATTATTTTAGATAAAATTAAAAAACACATAAAGAAACCCACAAACTAAAAGAAAAAATTCCTAAGAATGTGTGTAACTAAAATACTATTTAGTATTTTTTTATAGAACTGTGAAAAAAACCAAATAATAAAGCTTTAATAAAGATATTTAAAGAACAACAACAATGACAAGAATAAACATAAAAAAGTAAAAGTATTTTCAATTGTCATGATCATAGAGGAACTTGTCAAACAGATCTTTAACAATTGCATTGCACTTGAAAGATAAACAACAGTTGCTTTAAAAAATCACCGAACAATACTGCTTCCAAGCTGAATTGCAGAATTATGATCTAAAACTGTTAAGAAAACAATCAACTAATCATTCATAATTATCAGTCCCTGTAATTTATTTACCTTTTCAGCCAGACAAAATAAAATTTCAACGTGCAAAACCCCTCAGACACGTTTAATTTCATCTTTGTCTACACAAATATTATTTATATGCCCGGCTTGGTGCAATCTTTAAAGAAGCATCTTGAAAATCTTTGTTTGAATTCTTTGTTAACTCAATCACTTGTATTGTTTATTTATTTGTTAACAATAAATATTATGGTTAAAAAGGTGTAACCAAGTATTGCAGTAGCCATAAATAGTTGTTCCTTGTTTAAAATAATTCATTGGAAATTCCAACAACAATAATAAATCAGGAAGAAATTTGCCAATATTAAAGAGAAATGAAGCACAGCTTGAAAGAAAACTGAATTAATAATCTTGCAAACAAAAATTTATTAACTAATTAAGTCATTTTGTTACCACCAAATATTTGATTAAGGTAACTAAACTACCTTTTAGCCTAGTTTATAGTCTAGTCTATAGTCTAGTCTATAGTCTAGTCTATAGTCTAGTCTATAGTCTAGTCTATAGTCTAGTCTATAGTCTAGTCTATAGTCTAGTCTATAGTCTAGTCTATAGTCTAGTCTATAGTCTAGTCTATAGTCTAGTCTATAGTCTAGTCTATAGTCTAGTCTATAGTCTAGTCTATAGTCTAGTCTATAGTCTAGTCTATAGTCTAGTCTATAGTCTAGTCTATAGTCTAGTCTATAGTCTAGTCCTATAGTCTAGTCTATAGTCTAGTCTATAGTCTAGTCTATAGTCTAGTCTATAGTTAGTCTATAGTCTAGTCTATAGTCTAGTCTATAGTCTAGTCTATAGTCTAGTCTATAGTCTAGTCTATAGTCTAGTCTATAGTCTAGTCTATAGTCTAGTCTATAGTCTAGTCTATAGTCTAGTCTATAGTCTAGTCTATAGTCTAGTCTATAGTCTAGTCTATAGTCTAGTCTATAGTCTAGTCTATAGTTTAGTCTATAGTCTAGTCTATAGTCTAGTCTATAGTCTAGTCTATAGTCTAGTCTATAGTAGTCTATAGTCTAGTCTATAGTCTAGTCTATAGTCTAGTCTATAGTCTAGTCTATAGTCTAGTCTATAGTCTAGTCTATAGTCTAGTCTATAGTCTAGTCTATAGTCTAGTCTATAGTCTCTATAGTCTAGTCTATAGTCTAGTCTATAGTCTAGTCTATAGTCTAGTCTATAGTCTAGTCTATAGTCTAGTCTATAGTCTAGTCTATAGTCTAGTCTATAGTCTAGTCTATAGTCTAGTCTATAGTCTAGTCTATAGTCTAGTCTATAGTCTAGTCTATAGTCTAGTCTATAGTCTAGTCTATAGTCTAGTCTATAGTCTAGTCTATAGTCTAGTCTATAGTCTAGTCTATAGTCTAGTCTATAGTCTAGTCTATAGTCTAGTCTATAGTCTAGTCTATAGTCTAGTCTATAGTCTAGTCTATAGTCTAGTCTATAGTCTAGTCTATAGTCTAGTCTATAGTCTAGTCTATAGTCTAGTCTATAGTCTAGTCTATAGTCTAGTCTATAGTCTAGTCTATAGTCTATAGTCTAGTCTATAGTCTAGTCTATAGTCTAGTCTATAGTCTAGTCTATAGTCTAGTCTATAGTAGTCTATAGTCTAGTCTATAGTCTAGTCTATAGTCTAGTCTATAGTCTAGTCTATAGTCTAGTCTATAGTCTAGTCTATAGTCTAGTCTATAGTCTAGTCTATAGTCTAGTCTATAGTCTAGTCTATAGTCTAGTCTATTGTCTAGTCTATAGTCTAGTCTATAGTCTAGTCTATAGTCTAGTCTATAGTCTATTCTATATTCTAGTCTATAGTCTAGTCTATAGTCTAGTCTATAGTCTAGTCTATAGTCTAGTCTATAGTCTAGTCTATAGTCTAGTCTATAGTCTAGTCTATAGTCTAGTCTATAGTCTAGTCTATAGTCTATGTCTATAGTCTAGTCTATTAGTCTAGTCTATAGTCTAGTCTATAGGTCTAGGTCTATAGTCTAGTTCTATAGTCTAGTTCATAGTCTAGTCTATAGTCTAGTCTATAGTCTAGTCTATAGTCTAGTCTATAGTCTAGTCTATAGTCTAGTCTATAGTCTAGTCTATAGTCTAGTCTGATAGTCTAGTCTATAGTCTAGTCTATAGTCTAGTCTAGTCTAGTCTAGTCTAGTCTATAGTCTAGTCTATAGTCTAGTCTATAGTCTAGTCTATAGTTAGTCTATAGTCTAGTCATAGTCTAGTCTATAGTCTAGTCTATAGTCTAGTCTATAGTCTAGTCTATAGTCTAGTCTATAGTCTAGTCTATAGTCTAGTCTATAGCTAGTCTATAGTCTAGTCTATAGTCTAGTCTATAGTCTAGTCTATAGTCTAGTCTATAGTCTAGTCTATAGTCTAGTCTATAGTCTAGTCTATAGTCTAGTCTATAGTCTAGTCTATAGTCTAGTCTTAAGTAGTCTAGTCTATAGTCTAGTCTATAGTCTAGTCTATAGTCTAGTCTATAGTCTAGTCGATAGTTAGTCTAGTCTAGTCTAGTCTATAGTCTAGTCTATAGTCTAGTCTATAGTCTAGTCTATAGTCTAGTCTATAGTCTAGTCTATAGTCTAGTCTATGTCTAGTCTATAGTCTAGTCTATAGTCTAGTCTATAGTCTAGTCTATAGTCTAGTCTATAGTCTAGTCTATAGTCTAGTCTATAGTCTAGTCTATAGTCTAGTCTATAGTCTAGTCTATAGTCTAGTCTATAGTCTAGTCTATAGTCTAGTCTATAGTCTAGTCTATAGTCTAGTCTATAGTCTAGTCTATAGTCTAGTCTATAGTCTAGTCTATAGTCTAGTCTATAGTCTAGTCTATAGTCTAGTCTATAGTCTAGTCTATAGTCTAGTCTATAGTCTAGTCTATAGTCTAGTCTATAGTCTAGTCTATAGTCTAGTCTATAGTCTAGTCTATAGTCTAGTCTATAGTCTAGTCTATAGTCTAGTCTATAGTCTAGTCTATAGTCTAGTCTATAGTCTAGTCTATAGTCTAGTCTATAGTCTAGTCTATAGTCTAGTCTATAGTCTAGTCTATAGTCTAGTCTATAGTCTAGTCTATAGTCTAGTCTATAGTCTAGTCTATAGTCTAGTCTATAGTCTAGGCTATGGTCTAGTCTATAGTATAGTCTATAGTCTAGTCTATAGTCTAGATTATAGTCTAGTCTATAGTCTAGTCTATAGTCTAGTCTATAGTCTAGTCTATGGTCTAGTCTATAGTCTAGTCTATAGTCTAGTCTATAGTCCAGTCTATAGTCTAGTCTATAGTCTAGTCTATAGTCTAGTCTATAGTCTAGTCTATAGTCTAGTCTATAGTCTAGTCTATAGTCTAGTCTATAGTCTAGTCTATAGTCTAGTCTATAGTCTAGTCTATAGTCTAGTCTATAGTCTAGTCTATAGTCTAGTCTATAGTCTAGTCTATAGTCTAGTCTATAGTCTAGTCTATAGTCTAGTCTATAGTCTAGTCTATAGTCTAGTCTATAGTCTAGTCTATAGTCTAGTCTATAGTCTAGTCTATAGTCTAGTCTATAGTCTAGTCTATAGTCTAGTCTATAGTCTAGTCTATAGTCTAGTCTATAGTCTAGTCTATAGTCTAGTCTATAGTCTAGTCTAGTCTAGTCTATAGTCTAGTCTATAGTCTAGTCTATAGTCTAGTCTATAGTCTCTAGTCTATAGTCTAGTCTATAGTCTAGTCTATAGTCTAGTCTATAGTCTAGTCTATAGTCTAGTCTATAGTCTAGTCTATAGTCTAGTCTATAGTCTAGTCTATAGTGTAGTCTATAGTCTAGTCTATAGTCTAGTCTATAGTCTAGTCTATAGTCTAGTCTATAGTCTAGTCTATAGTCTAGTCTATAGTCTAGTCTATAGTCTAGTCTATAGTCTAGTCTATAGTCTAGTCTATAGTCTAGTCTATAGTCTAGTCTATAGTCTAGTCTATAGTCTAGTCTATAGTCTAGTCTATAGTCTAGTCTATAGTCTAGTATAGTCTAAGTCTAGTATATAGTCTAGTCTATAGTCTTATCTATAGTCTAGTCTTTAGTCTAATCTATAGTCTAGTCAATAGTCTAGTCTATAGTCAAGTCTATAGTCTAGTCTATAGTCTAGTCTATAGTCTAGTCTATAGTCTAGTCTATAGTCTAGTCTATAGTCTAGTCTATAGTCTAGTCTATAGTCTAGTCTATAGTCTAGTCTATAGTCTAGTCTATAGTCTAGTCTATAGTCTAGTCTATAGTCTAGTCTATAGTCTAGTCTATGGGCTAGTCTATGGTCTAGTCTAGTCTATAGTATAGTCTATAGTATAGTCTATAGTCTACTCTATAGCTTACTATATATGGTCTAGTCTATAGTCTAGTCCATAGTTTAGTTTTTGCTTTGTTATTAAAAATACCATTCTGTAACGTTTTTTTTTCAATTTCCGTTTATTTTTATTTCCTTTCAAAATAAAGCTTGCCACCCTTCAAACTTCAAACATCACCCCATTTTATTTTTCAACTGGCAACACTCTCACACGTGTACGGCAGAGAAAAAGACATCCGACAACTCTAATTAAACAGCTGATAAGTAAGTGGAAAAATTTTGGACGGCCTGCTGTTATTTCACCAGAAATCTATGCAAATTTGGCCAAAAAAGCTAAAAAAATCGTTCAAATAACAATGAACATTAAACGCTAAACCATCAACGCCTCTCTCTAACGCATAATCTACAATTTTGAACGTGTAAATTAAGTAAATTTTAGCTTTTCACATGGATATTTCGGATTTTATATTGGGTGGTTTAGGCTCAGTGGGAGCAACATTTTTCACCAATCCCATCGAAGTAAGTTGAATGCGAAAAACATTAATAAAAACTTATACGAAATTAATGTGTATTGCAACCCCATACAAGGTCGTCAAAACACGCATACAATTACAAGGTGAATTGGCCGCCCGGGGTACTTACGTGGAGCCGTATCGTGGTATAGTAAATGCTTTTGTAACAGTGGCTAAAAATGATGGCTTGACGGGTTTGCAGAAGGGTTTAACACCAGCTTTATATTTTCAATTTATTATAAATTCATTTCGGTGAGTAGTTAAGGGATTTTTTTTTTAATTTTATTTATTAGAACAAATGTTGTGTTTGAAACAGTTTGAGCATTTATAATATGGCTTTAAACAATGGTTGGATGCACACCAAATCTGGAGATGTTTCATTTGTCAAGGGTATTTTTTGGGGAGCAGCTGGTGGTGCCATTGGTTCCTATTTCTCTAGTCCATTTTTTATGGTAAGTCCATGTTTATACATATTTTCATACAAAAATTAAGAAACAAATTACGCCAATTCATTGTTATCAATTTAAATTTGTTTAAAGTTAATTACTTTTCACTCACACTCTTATAATTACATCGAAATGCTGTCAGCAATTACTCAAGATAATAGTGGGACGTTTTGTCTATAGACCACCCCACTATCTGGTAAACATAATAACACTTTGTTTTCTTAGATAGAGAGTAGTTTATGTGATAATGGCATGAGATTAAATAATTTCATTTCTTTACGATTTGCTAAAAAAAATTTCTTAAGTAATTTTTTTTTTCAAGTTCTTAGATAATCATAAATCAACTAAATTGTCCATATAATTAAATGTACAAATAAAATGACTAGGTAAATTTATTGTTTATAAAACAAATTTTTGATAATCTTTACAAATTGTTTAAGATAAACTATCTCAAAAGCAGGAATTGTAGCGAACGTAATATGAATTTATATCTTAGAATTTAGCAATCAATTTCAAAGTCTTAGAAATATGATGTCTAGACGATGTGTCCGATAACTGTACCATAATCAAGGCTATATAGTAATCTGTAGTTAAAGATATAGACAGATATATACATATTCAAGTTTTTACTATAGACTAATCTATAGTCGCAACTTGTACAAAGGTTTCTTAACTAGTCAGCAGAATTTTCTTAACCCATGCTAGGAAATTTCACCAATATTCGCCCCTGCTATAGACTTATCTATAGACTTGACTTATTGACAATATACTGAGCTATAGTTTTGACTGGTCTTCACTTCTGACGGATCCATAGACTTCACTATAGACTGATCTGTAGTCTTGACTATAGACTGATCTATAGTCTTGACTACAGACTGATCATTAGTTTTGACTATAGACTGATCTATAATCTTGAGTAAAGACTGATCTGTAGTCTTGAGTAAAGACTGATCTATAGTCTTGAGTAAAGACTGATCAATAGTCTTGAGCAAAGTCTGATCTATAGTCTTGAGTAAAGACTTATCTATAGTCTTGACAATAGACTGATCTATAGTCTTGACTATAGACTGATCTATAGTCTTGACTATAGACTGAACTATAGTCTAGACTGATCTATTGACTATAGACTGATTTATAGTCCTGACTAGACTGATTTATAGTCTTTACTATAGACTGATCAAGAGTCTGGACTATACAGTTATCTGTAAACTTGACTATAGACTGACGTTCCCCATTTTCCCTTCCAGATTAAAACACAACTTCAATCTCAGGCCGCTAAACAAATCGCTGTCGGCTATCAGCATCAACACACCGGCATGATGGATGCCCTTAAACAAATCTACAGCAAACGTGGTATATTTGGCCTATGGCGTGGATCGATGGCTGCCATACCACGTGCTGCTATCGGTTCGGGTGCACAAATTGCCACTTTTGGCAAAACGAAATTTTTGCTCAAAGAATATGATCTGGTCACACAGCCAGCACTAAATTCCTTCTGTTCCGGTCTCATAGCTGGTTCTATAATGTCGGTGGCCATTACACCGCCCGATGTCATTTCCACTAGACTCTATAATCAGGGTTGGGATGAACGTGGCCGCTATAATGGTTGGTTGGATTGTTTTTTGAAAATATGCCGCACAGAGGGTATTTATGGTTTGTACAAGGGTTTCTGGGCCAATTACTTGAGAATAGCTCCACATTCGACCTTAGTTTTATTGTTCTTTGATGAATTGTTGATTGTGCGTGACAAGTATAGAGAAAGCAAGGCTATGTTAGAGTTAAAGTAGTGCGAACAAATCTAACTAATGATATTAACACACAACCAAACGATATTAGTTTTAAACTAATAATGTGCAATATGTCTTCTTTTTTCTAGTTTTTAGCTAAAAAAATTAATTTGTTTTATTTGCCAGTTTTGTTAGTCCATTTGTATAAGTACAAAAAGAAATTTTTTTTCTAAAAGAAAATTTTTTCTAATGTAAGCGTTTTTATTTAGTTTTTTTGTTGCTATTTTGCCTATGTTTTATTTTAATTGTTTTTGTAAAATAACAAAGTGCCTTTTTATAAATGAAAACAAAGAAACAAACCAAACGTGAGTGTACAATTAAAATTGTATGTATTTTTAAAACTTCCTGTAGGTAGAAAAATAAACATTTTTAAAATGTTATTCCTAAAACTAACAATAAAAAATAAACAAAACAGATGCTCCTGAAAGAATAATCATTAAATAAAAGTGTTTTTATTTTTGCAAAGAATATGAAAGTGAAGTGATAAGAAAATAAAATAAAGAAAAAACAGACAAAGACTTGGCTATAGACTGATCTATAGTGTTAACTATCGACTAATCTATAGTTAGACTGATCTATAGGCTGGACTTTTGAAGTGATCTATACTGCTGATTATAAACTGATCTATTGTCTCGACTATAGATTGATCTATACTCTATAGTCAAAACTATATTGACTATAGACTGTTCTGTAGTCTTGACTATAGACTGATCTATGGTCCTGACTATAAAGTGATCTGTAGTCTTAACTATAGACTGATCTATATTCTTGACTATAGACTGATCTATAGTTTTTACTATACATCAGTCTATAGTATTAACTATAGACTGATCTATAGACTTGACTATAGACTGATCTAGTCTTGACTATAGACTGGTCTATAGCCCTGAATTTAAAGTGATCTATGTATTCTTGACTATAGAGTGGTTTATAGTCTTGACTATAGACTGACCTATAGTCTTTACTATAGACTGACCTATAATCTTGACTATAGACTGATCTATAGTCATGACTATAGACTGATTTATAGTCTTGACTATAGACTGATCTATAGTCTTGACTATAGACTAATCTATAGTCTTGACTATAGACTGATCTATAGTCTTTACTATAGACTGATCTATAGTCTTGACTATAGACTGATCAATAGTCTTAACTCTAAACTGATCTATAGTCTTGACTATAGACTGATCTACAGTCTTGGCTATAGACTGATCTATAGTCTTGACTATAGACTGATCTATAGTCTTTACTATAGACTGATCTATAGTTTTGACTATAGACTGATCAATAGTCTTTACTATAGACCAGTGTTGACTATAGACTGATCTATAGTCTCGACTACAGCTTGCTAAAGATTGACCTATAGTCTATAGTCAAGACTATATTGATTATAGACTGATCTGTAGTTTTGACTATAAACTGGTCTATAGTCTTGACTATAAAGTGATCTATATATTCTTGACTATAGAGTGATCTATAGTCTAGACTATAGAGTGGTTTATAGTCTTGACTATAGACTGACCTATAGTCTTTACTATAGACTGACCTATAATCTTGACTATAGACTGATCTATAGTCATGACTATAGACTGATTTATAGTCTTGACTATAGACTGATCTATAGTCTTAACTATTGACTGATCTATAGTCTTGACTATAGACTGATCTATAGTCTTGACTATAGACTGATCTATAGTCTTAACTATAGACTGATCTATAGTCTTGACTATAGACTGATCTATAGTCTTGACTATAGACTGATCTATAGTCTTGACTATAGACCAGTGTTGACTATAGACTGATCTATAGTCTCGACTACAGCTTGCTAAAGATTGACCTATAGTCTATAGTCAAGACTATATTGATTATAGACTGATCTGTAGTTTTGACTATAAACTGGTCTATAGTCTTGACTATAAAGTGATCTATATATTCTTGACTATAGAGTGATCTATAGTCTAGACTATAGAGTGGTTTATAGTCTTGACTATAGACTGACCTATAGTCTTTACTATAGACTGACCTATAATCTTGACTATAGACTGATTTACAGTCTTGACTATAGACTGATCTATAGTCTTGCTTATAGACTGATCTATAGTCTTGACTATAGACTGATCTATAGTCTTGACTACTGACTGATCTATAGTCGTAACTATAGACTGATCTATAGTCTTGACTATAGACTGATCTATAGTCTTGACTATAGACTGATCTATAGTCTTGACTATAGACCAGTGTTGACTATAGACTGATCTATAGTCTCGACTACAGCTTGCTAAAGATTGACCTATAGTCTATAGTCAAGACTATATTGATTATAGACTGATCTGTAGTTTTGACTATAAACTGGTCTATAGTCTTGACTATAAAGTGATCTATATATTCTTGACTATAGAGTGATCTATAGTCTAGACTATAGAGTGGTTTATAGTCTTGACTATAGACTGACCTATAGTCTTTACTATAGACTGACCTATAATCTTGACTATAGACTGATTTACAGTCTTGACTATAGACTGATCTATAGTCTTGCTTATAGACTGATCTATAGTCTTGACTATAGACTGATCTATAGTCTTGACTACTGACTGATCTATAGTCGTAACTATAGACTGATCTATAGTGTTGGCTATAGACTGATCTATAGCCTTTACTATAGACTGATCTATAGTTTTGACTGATCTATAGTCTTGACAATAGATTGATCTATAGTCTTAACTATAAGCTGATCTATAGACTTGACTATAACTCATCTATAGTTTTGACTGATCTTTAGTCTTGACTATAGACTGATCTATTATCTGGACTAAACTTATCTAATAAAGTTTAAATTTGTCAAATAAAACAACATTAATTTTCCTGTTTTTTGGTTTAAAGAACAATCATTTGTGGTTTAGTTTTATTTACGTTTAAATATTTATAAGTTTTGTTTTTGTAATACGCAATTGCTATTATTTTGTCATGACTTGAAAACAAATTAATTTGTAGATGGTAGGTATTGTATAAAAAAAAGTTGTCTGCCTAAAAATACCAGTGTTATTTATAAATATTTTTCAACATTTTTTTTTCTTAAATTTCAAACAAGACTTAAAACACAAGATAACAATTAATTAAGAATTAGTTTTTTTTCTGTTATACTAACAACTTATTTATACACAATTTAATACGACATTTAATACTAGTTTTGGGTTAAAGAAAAGAAAATATAAAAAAACTTAAAATTTTGTCTTTTTTTCTACAAAAAGGTCTTTTTTGAGCAATTTTTAAATTAAACCAAAAAGTAGGACAATAAATCCCAAAAAATATATTAAGTAAATACACAAAAGAGTTAAGACAAATACTGTTAAATCTTGCTGGACTTAATAAGAAATTAAAAAAATACATTTTAAATTATTTGTTTAATAATTAACTTAAGTGTTTAAGCTTTAAAATTAATGGCACTACAACATTTTATAAAAAATATGTTTTTTTTTTGTATCAATATTATAACTGGTTTACAAAGAGTGTTTTATTAATAGTAGTATATTTAATATGTATATTTGTTATTATTATTATTTGTTTGTATAATCCTTTAAAGTCCTTTTTATATTTAAATGTATTGCTAAATGATGTAATTTTCTCAGGCACTTGAAACGTATAATTGTTTCTTTAGTTTAATTGTTAGATTTTATACATTATTTTACATAAAGATTGGGGGTATCGATTTTTGAGCAAAATTTTCAAACAAATCGTTTCAATAATATTTTCCTGTTCGTTCGTTTTTTCATTTTCTTCTCGTTTTTATAATGATAAATTAAAATATAACGTTTTTTTCTTAAAATGAGATTCTTGTTAGGGAGGGAATGTGTTTTTTTTGTGGGATTTTATCATTCTTAATATCTAGTATAAAATTGGGATCTTGATACGGCATTTCGTTTTGTTCGTTCATTATCTGTTGTCCCTCTAATGGAATGACTTGTTGTTGTTGTGTTATTTGTAGGAGAATTTTGTAATGGTTTAATATCATTAATGGAGGTTTTTGTTGTGGGTGAAGAGGAGGAGGTGGTGGTGGATTTTGTGGATTTTTTTTGATCATTTAATTTGGCATTTAAACGATGTATCTTTTCGGGACTTAAAATTGTCAGGCGGGTTGTATTCGAAGAGGGTGAATTGAGAGGTTTAGGCGGTGAAGTTGCAACGTTGCGTAGACGTGAAGCTAAAAAAGAAATGGAAGGAAATTGTTAATAAAACCTGAAATTATTCCACACTAACGTTCTTAATATATAACAGTCTAGAGTACAGCTAATAGCCTAACCTATAAACTTGTCTAGTCTATGGTCTACTCTATAGACTAGACTATAGATTAGACTATAGACTAGACTATAGACTAGACTATAGACTAGACCCTAGACTAGACTATAGAATAGACTAGAGAATAGACTATAGACTAGACTAGACTAGACTATAGACTACTATAGACTAGACTATAGACTAGACTATAGACTAGACTATAGACTAGACTATAGACTAGACTATAGACTAGACTATAGACTAGACTATAGACTAGACTATAGACTAGACTAGACTATAGACTAGACTATAGACTAGACTATAGACTAGACTATAGACTAGACTATAGACTAGACTATAGACTAGACTATAGACTAGACTATAGACTAGACTATAGACTAGACTATAGACTAGACTATAGACTAGACTATAGACTAGACTATAGACTAGACTATAGACTAGACTATAGACTAGACTATAGACTAGACTATAGACTAGACTATAGACTAGACTATAGACTAGACTATAGACTAGACTATAGACTAGACTATAGACTAGACTATAGACTAGACTATAGACTAGACTATAGACTAGACTATAGACTAGACTATAGACTAGACTATAGACTAGACTATAGACTAGACTATAGACTAGACTATAGACTAGACTATAGACTAGACTATAGACTAGACTATAGACTAGACTATAGACTAGACTATAGACTAGACTATAGACTAGACTATAGACTAG